CGCGTGTGTATGTACGCCACGCATTCGGGTTTATATACGCTCGCGGGTCGGCCCGTCACTCAAATCGTTTTCACTTACCTCGCGAATATACTGTTGCAGGGCATATAGATATACAACATTATTGCACTATTGCCGACGCGTTCTTCTCAAACATTTCTTTTTTTTTTTAACTCATCCTCCCCTCATACTATTCCTCTTCCTAAAGTCTACACAAGTATAACCGCGACGGCAACTGGGGTTTTTCGCAGATCGTGGTTTTCTACTCCCGCGTGCATCACTCGCACCAATAACACAAATTTTGTACACACACAATATAATACTGCTAGTACTTATAATATATTTGACATATTACGAATTACTCGTTGTCCAGCTGTCGACGAACGCCAACGAAACAAATTTATTATTATCTCCGTATACCGATTCGCGAGTTACAATACAAGAGTATTTCCATATAGCATGTATTTACCCATATATAATATTAACTCGTTGAATACAGTTGGCCGCAGTTGGTCATGGCGGCGGCAGTGAAACGGTTGGTCGCGATCAAAGTCGCACGGTCATCGTCGAAAACGTCGAGTCATTCGATGGGATCCTTTTTTTTACAAAATACAATGCAATACGGCTTATGGTATATCTTGTGTGTATTATAACAGCTCGAATGATGAAAAAAATGGTTGAAGCTTGTCCCCCACTTATATTCTACCCCTCTCGACCACCACCTACCGCAATCATACCAATACTATCCAAAGCGGTTAATTTTATTACGTACCTATTAATGTTTGTGTTTAATTCATTAATAAGCTTATAAATAGACACTAGAATAATCATTTTAATATCATTATTATTATTATTAGTCGTATACCAGTGATAATAATATTTTAATATTTTGTTCATGTTGTCAATTATATATTCTGTTTTAACGTTATGTATTAAATAAAATACAAATTTAATAGCACACGCATGGTTGTAAATAGTGCAATATGTATGAGATTATATTTTTAAAACTATTTAGTCTATATTTTGACGGTCTAGAAAAAATATTTCAATTTGATATAGGTAATCAAAGAATTGTATTTATCATCAAATATAATAAATGATCATTCTCGTTGTTACAATAAATATACGCATTATTTTTTTGTTATACCGAATCATTATTTCGTTCAACGAATGTTTTAAATTAATTTCATCGAAAAACTGATACTATAGAGAACAGAATAGTCTATAAATAATGAATAAAGTATTTATCTTGACTGTAGTGTTTACTAATGAGTAATGATCTTTAAATTAATCATTTTTTTTATTTTCAAAGAATTACGAGTATATAGCTGATTTAAATTATACGAACAAGCGTTTGCTAAAATTGGTCTTATTAAAATACTTGAACAGTATGCATATGTAAAAATCGACCTTTTATAATTTTAAATTAACCTCTTGATATTTTAAATAAAATAACCAAGATTTTAAGTCTATTCGAATGTCATTTTCAGACGACGGCCGCAGCGCAAACCATTTACAGTTGTGTGTTACATAGATTTTTTTACGTCACAGTTCTAAATAAAAGTAATTTTATTTTTAAGCAACACAACTTGAAAATGTTTTATTAAAGTTATATATGTATGATATATCTTATTAATTTCTTATTATATTTTATCATAAAAACACTTACGAAATGGTTCAATGGACCTTATATGATAATATCTATATCTTAAACGTATACTAGCTATAGGCATAGTCAAAATAAATCTCCGGGAGCGTCTATAACTGTTAAACGATTTTAAATGAGCTTTTATCAGTATGTCGTTATAGTAGGTATTAAAAAAAATCCAACTTACAAAAATTAATAATTATTATTGTATTTTAGTATATCGTAATAATTTTTGAACTGTTGATAATGCAATAATGATCGAATGTATATAAAAAATAAAACTTATTATTACTGAAAATATATTTTCTTCGTATGCACTTACTTTATAATGTTTGTGATTGCAGTGATCGACAGCTATGATCCAGGTCCATATGATTCTACCGCTAACATAATTTAACTACCGCGAAATCAATTTAAAAAAAACGCACTCAGTAAAAGGCTAACCGAAAAATACCACTTGTAGTTTATAACCTTCGTCTATCAAGCTGCAGCTATATCGTGTACATAATTTCATACCAAAAGTTTAGTACTCTTAGCTACGAGATCTTTTGAATTTTAATCGTCATGAAAGAAAATCAGTTTTGTATTTATTTCATCGACAATTTTGAGAAAGATAATACTTAATATTTTATTAGATAAATAATAATAATAGTGTGTATTATTACAATATTATGTACTGTGATCATCTGATTATTTCTATAACGTACGGGAATAGATATATTATATTCATGAATAATATTATAAGGGATATGAAAAGTCTAAAATAAAACACAGACACGACGATACACGTCAACGGTTAATTTGTCTGATTATTATTATCGTCACCGCTAGTTGTCGAAATGTCTGTTCGCGGGCAAAAATTCGTCGGCGATTTTGACATTTTCCCGAACAAAAAAAATAAATATATATATATATATATATATATATAATAATAATTAAAAAAAAAAAAAATAGTATAATAATAATAATAATTACTATACGCGCCCACTTGATGACGGCGATGACGACGACGACACGACGTCGTCATTACCGACATGTCTCGTACCGCAGGCGGATCTGTCACCATTTTAGACGCGTCGTCTGCCGCAGTGACAACCAAATCCCGTCGACGCGACGCGTGAAAAATATAAACAAGAATCTCAACCACTGAAATAATAATTGGTGCCCAAATCGACCGTCGACTGACTTCGAGTTCAGACACTTAGACGATGATCTAATAATCTAATAAATTGTACTGAACATTATTGTTAGATACTTTTAAAAACTATGTATAACTAAGTATTATGAATTTCTGTAAATTTACTTTAATATAAACCGAAAAAGAACCTTAGAAATAGTTTATAAGAGGGGGGTTTCGACTCGAATAGCAGTTTTACTTGTACCCGACTCTATAGAGACATGTTCTTTGTACAAGGTATTAATGTATGATTATAATTATAAATAATCGTATATGAGTCAGCGGGAGACAAAATAAAGGATTTGCGCGTTGTGATTTAACGACCGATATAATCACGTTTTTGACTATATTTTTGTTTTCCTTTATTTTTGGCAACCTCTGAATGCGCGTGTTATATACCTGTCAACACCGAATGGTAGAATACACGCGCGGAAAACAAAAAAAGAGACATGCTCGTGTCATGTAAGTACTTGAAATTTGTCTCGGAATGTCTACTCGAAAGCAACCTCCCCTCCCCCTTTTGAGCACAACCGCTAATTCCAGTTACAACGGTACACGGTCTAGACGCTGTATGAGGGATTAAACGTTTTTCGACTGTGACGAGCACGACGGTATCAGATCGTACACGGTAATATTAACAGATTTAAAATTATACATATCAGTGTACGCTATATGCCTACAGGAGTCTGAAACGAAACGGATATCCGGTGTTTTTGTTCCATCGTATAATTATCGTTTCGACCATCGGTTTTTCCACTTTTGTTCAAATCATTATTTTTGTATACCAGTGATCGAATATTTTATTACGTGTAGGTGTATAATAAAGACGTCAGCAGACTTCGTGGCGCTCGTGCTCTCTTGGAACAATTAGGGCTTGCACCTCTGACGTATTATTACAATAATAATAATACACATTAGCTATCTATACACATATTACAATATAACTACGTTGTCACAAGACGTGTTGAAAAAATGCTCGTTAGACCGTTTAACAGGTTGTCTAATTATATGAGAGATTTATAACTGCACTGCAGTGTGGTACGCGCTTTTCAGCGATTCCTTTATGTGTTTAAATACACATATATATATGCGTATTTTACTAAATATATATTTATATGTATATTATGAAACAGTAAAATGTGAGGCTCTGTTTCGAACAGCAGTGACGAACAGTCAATTACGTCGTATTGTTTGCTCGCTCAATGTATTTGTGTGTGTCCGTTTATAAGTATACTAGTATTTTTTAAGCATACATCGATACATATATTATTATACATTAACGACTTCTGTGTTGTACTTTAAACGTCTCATTGTAACAGACAGATATAGCCTATAGGTATAAATATTAAATACATATCATATTATAGGATATACATAAGACATAACTAATTGTAAAACAACGCACCTTGCAATTTACGTACTCATACATATCAGAATATGGCCACACATATTGTTTGTACGCGATACTCCAAATATTAGATATTCTCAACTCCAAATCCCGGAGGCTGCAACCCAAATAATCGTTCTTTCGATTTTCACCGCATTATTTAACTTCCGTTGTATTTCTATTGCATCATAACATGTGAAAACAAATATTCAAATCCATAGATATGTATTATTATGTAGATAACCTTTGAAAAACACGTTTATGACACCGTGGTTAATACGATTGAGTCAATTATTCCATAACAGATAATGTCTGTAGAATTATCTGATACAGCTAAAAACCAACTTTAAAATCGTGAAACCAATGATAAAATTGAATTAAAAATGAAAAAAAAAATGTTTGTAATATAACGTGATACGGCTCTAAACTTAATTTTAAATTCATATTCAACAACCATATTACAGTTATTGGTGTGACAAAACTACTGTCCCAACTCGTTTTGTTCGACTGTAGATAGGCGTACTTGCGAGTCGAGACCGACTTATCATCACGTAACGAATTTTTATTTACCCCTTTATAGGGGTGTACATATGTGTCGCAGACAAACGCTAATATCTCTTATCACTGTTATCACATACTAATATGCCTTATACTACCTAATCGGTTTCAAACTACCAGACACCCAATTTTTATCTGTACAACACGATCGGTGATGTCATTATTATATCATCGTCGTTCATAATTATTTTTAACGTGTTTGTTTTCATGCGTTTTTTACTCGATGCTTACAGGTACGGTGAACGCCAACGGCGAGACAAAACGGCAGCGTACGTCGTACACCCGTTACCAGACGCTGGAGCTGGAGAAAGAGTTCCACTTCAACCGGTACCTGACCAGGCGGCGGAGGATCGAGATCGCGCACGCGCTGTGCCTGACCGAGCGGCAGATAAAGATATGGTTCCAGAACAGGCGGATGAAATGGAAAAAGGAACACAAGATGGCCAGCATGAACATGGTGCCGTACCACTATCACATGGCCGCCCAGCCCTACGGCACCCCGTACCCGTTCACGCACCTCACCACCTGAGATTCGTATTATTAATTTAACGGTTCCGTTTAGGCGGCGGCGTCGTCGTCACCGCCGTCGTCCACATCGACGGCGGCCACGGCTGCGGCGTCGCTGAACGGCAACGCGCGATAGGTAAGACAACCGTTAAATTAATAATACATGCAAACGATTTCGAAAAAAACTTTGATTCACAAGACGTGCGAAAACGCGTCACGAATGTTACACGTCGACGGGTATGCGTGAAATTCGCGACTGCGCATATCCGGTCGTCATGTTGTAACAATATAATATGTGTATATACAAAATGTACATTATCGATTATGTATAAATACGTAATGATGTATTTATATAAATTTATAATTCATAGGTAAATACTATTATAACTCATCTATTATTGCGATTTATATTTAATTTTATCGCTTGGACATCATAAAATAATGTGTTGTATCGTGTAATACTTGTAATTGTGTAAAATATATGTGTTTTTAAATAATAATATAATAATACGGCAAACGCATGTCGTAATGATAAAAAAAAAAAAAAAAAAAATCAAAAAAAAAATAATTTCTTTCGATACCTTTCGTTTCGACTTGTTATAATAGTTGACCCCGCCGAGTACAACAATAATTTATTCTTGTGTTACGAGATAATGTACGCGCATTATGATTAAACCGCGTAGCGATTACACCCATTGCATCTGAAAGATAAGTCTAAGGCCGATTTTAAATGAGCAATCGTAAAATCATCCTGCAAACACATCCTTCGGATACATAATAACATAAACGTCCCTGTTACCTATTTCTGCTGTTTTCGGATGGTGTAAATCTTAAGATTTGAGTGTATACCCGAAAACCGAGAAAAAAACCCGTTAATGAGAATACAACGTGGAATAACATTTAAAAACCGACCGCGGTTTGTGCGTCCGTGGTGTATAGGCGAGGGCAGAGGTTGCTCAAATTGTCTTTACGTACATCGTACTAAATTATGACTGGAAAAGAGGAGATAACGTGACAATAACAATCAATGAAATAGGAAAAATTTCGGATCGATGTGTTTTAAATGCGTACCGCATACTATGACGCGTACCTATGTTATAATATAACATCTTTTTTTTTACGATAAATATTAGTCGTGTCACCGATCCCATCGAAATTTGTCGGTGGTACTTATGGCGCACATCGTTCTTGTAGAATTTACAATGTAGATCCGTTTTCATACTATCTATATATTTTTTTCACGAGTAAATTCCGTTGCATTGTTTTTGTGTACATGGACACAGTTACACAGGTACTGATCGTAACGACACCCATCACTAGTAATTGATCGCGTGTCTTTCACACCTATACGACTTGCCATTATCACACTTTTATTTTTGACCGTCGATCACAAAGAGAGCCTGTAACAGGGAAGTGTAGGCGATATAATACGCATATTATTAAATATTACATGTTTTTAGGTTGAGTTTTAGTGGAAACGAACTCATCGGCAGTACTATAATATTATTAATTATTTATAAACAATACTTTACTATTAAACTCAAACTGGTTTTCACAAAATTAAGAGAAAATTTACATTGTAATTTTAAAATTGTTATAATAATATTATATCGTATGTTTAAATGTCGTCACACACGTACTCGTGTTTATATTAATAGTAAATTATTCATGATATTATAAATGTAACGACAAAATGTAAATATTCTATATACATATACTTAAATAATATAAAAAGGTATAAATTATATTATAAATTACGCTGTAACTATTTTCTGTACATGTGTTAACCCAGAGTCTGTGATTTTTCTTTATTTTATTATTATTATTATTATTATTATTATTATATCATCATTATTATGTTTTAGTTTTTAATAACAAAATATTTAAACATTAAAATACCTAATTGTTTTTTTTATAATTTGTTTTCTTATTTTATTGTTCTTTCTTTAGTTATTTTATTCTCCTATTTTTTTTTTTTAAATCGTGACCAGCTTCCCTATTTTATAATTTTTTTTTTATTTTTTGCTATCGCGATAGTCAAATTCAGTGTTTTAAACTATCTTATTTTAAAAAGTGCAATATTTATTGTTTGATTTTTGTTGTAAAAAGAAAAAAAATGTAAACTAGATGTAGAAAAACGATTCTATCATAGTATATATTATACTGTATAGTAAAAAAAAAAATATTAATATATTAATTTATAATTATTAGTCTTGTCATGTTGCTGTCACTCATGATATATATATATTTTTTCTCGAGTCATTAGAGTATTGATCGAGAGTATAAATAAATTATTATAATCAAAACAAAAAAAAAAATGTTTCAATGATAATAATTTGTAAATAATAAACATTAAATTTTAAATGCGTATAGTTTATCTACAAGGTTTATTATAATTCGAGTATATAAGAATGTTTTCACAGTTTTCCACACGAGTAATAATATTGTAATATTATACCGTGAAAAGGAAACCAGGATTTTCTTTTTTTTAATTACTCTATTTAATATTATAATATTAATATAATATATATATATATATATATATATATATATATATATATATATATATATATATAT